CATTAATGTGGAGGAAATTAGAAGACACTTTTAAAAAAGCAGATAGTACCAGAGCCAATGATCAGAGATTTTTATATGATTAAAATCATGTATGATTAGATTTTATTTAAATGAGGAGAAAATAAACTTTCAATCCTATTGTCTAAGTCAATGGGGCAAACTGACTGATCAGAATTTGATTCAAATTACTGGAGGTATTATACATTCTCCTATTGAAAAATATAGCCTTTATGGAATTAGGCTAGACTTAAGATTGAGTCTCTTTTCCCATTCTCCCTTCCTTCCCTACTTTTATTGAGAAACACCCGACTTAGTAAAAACCTGGCAACATTGGGAGTGTCCCACGAGGCTCAGAAACTTCATCAGTGATTTGGGGAGCAGGAAGAAAGAGGAGATTTTGGTGGTAAAAATGCATTATAGTAGTTTGGTTCCCTTGACTATTTTAATGAGATGATATCCACTTAAATGAAATGGGAAAATGATGAGTGGGAGTAATGCTTCCTGGTATAGATCAAGATATAGAAGGCAGACAGTTGCATGGATCATCATGTCTAAAAATGTAACACATGTTCACCCCACTCCACCTCACCCAAAAGAGTCTCTTCCTTACACTTAGGAGAATTGACATGACCTTCATCTTACTCCTGCCAATCCCAGCTTGGCTTAGGTTGTAGAGAAGAACGCTCTTATTTCAGAAATAAAAGGCCTCTGGTCCTGTTCTTTCCTCAGGGTGTCTACCACCTCCACATATCCACCATGGCAATTATAGAAACATGGATAAGGAATTATTTCTAATCGGACAGGAAGTGTCCTACAGCTGTGAGCCTGGCTACACTCTCATTGGAACTAACACTATGCAGTGTACATCCTTGGGAACCTGGAGCCATACAGCTCCCAAATGTGAAGGTGCCTAAAGGTTTATTCCATCTTAAGGAAATGCAACTGTTTCCTGACTCTGTGTATCAGCCTTGTCTGTTTTCTCCTAGTGAAATCATGTGATGCCATTCCAAAGCA